TTATCAGTATCACGGTGCACATTTCAGAATAAATTCTGTGTACGATGAAACCTTGTTTTTCTATACGAAATCCAACACCGTGATGATCGCGCTCTTCATCTGAAGGTCGATGCTCCGACTGCCACGCGTAAACTCTATGCGATTACGTCTGCTATTAACGGCCGAACTGTCAGTTATTAGAAAGCCAATGCTTTTTACTACTAACGTTAGCACAATCACGAAACACATCGCGAAAAATGTTATCGTTGTAAGTCGCTCATTTGCAGCAAAACTTTCAGCAAGAAAAGATTTAGGTAGAGTATAATTTTTGCAGATGTAATCTCAAGATTGTGTAGCCCGTCCTTGGTGATAAATATATGGACAATCAGAAATCAATGCTCCAAGTTGCCTTAAGAAGTTGTTTTGCCTTGAGGCTTGAGCCTTTAGGGTTGTCTATAAATTTTCTCGCTTTTTTTCTGCACTGGTGTATTCGCTATAATGGGAACGAGTGGTACAATGGCATAAATGCTGACCACCTCGGGCAAAGTATTTGCTCGGCTCTGCCGCAAATTCACCAAGGCTCTCTCCCCACCGGATGAGAAACTAGACTTGTTTAGAAAAAAGTTCATTTCCTGATTAAAGAGAGGAGCGCTCGTGCACGTCTATCTCAGGGCTCTAAAAAAAATTAAAATTCGACTTGTTTAGCATTCAATGAGATTCATGAAAATTACCAGCGATTCTCAAACTGTGGGGTGTGAATATTCTGAAAAGCTTCTTCAAGATGTATGATGGTGGACAAATTTTCTTATAAAGAACAATTGAAATGAAAATAGAATGCATATAATCTACATATACTCATACCCATATAGTCGTGTACACTCATGATCTGAGCACTCAGTTCGAGTCCTCCAAAGGTTTTTCTTCCCAACAGCGAATATACTCCCATTTCTGACCCATACTTTGATACAACTCCCCGTCGAGTTTCGTGACCTTTTCAACATAAATGCGGTCACCCCGCTGTATGTTCAGTTGGTGCAGGCGACGTCCCCGCCGACAATATTTACCTAAGAAATGGACGGTAATCATCTATGAGCGAATAGTTAACACACAATACCACTCCATAGCATTGAGAATTTACAGCTCAATAGCCGGAGTACTTGGATATGTCTGTTAAATATAAGCTGTGTGTAAATGATAAAAGGATAAAGGATAAAGCTCTCGGCGTTGATCTATCCCTGAGGGATGCGCCATGCATTCGACTTCAATTTTTAACTTCGTTTGAGGTGATTGAATGCACATCTGGCCTTTACAATGACTCGCGGTGGCCTCCCGCTGAACCGAGTCAGTGCTCCTTATCCTCCCAGACAAGTCTGAGACCTGTCTGTGTACCAATTTACCTACCCCCGAGGGATGGATGGCTTGGTGAGCCATGAGCGCGAGATCGAACCAGTGACCTCGTGTGCGACGCAGGGCACCTCTAACCACTGCGCCACATGCGCTCTTGTGTAAATGATAAAATATAGAAATACCTCGCTCTTAAAAAAGTACCTGAACAAAGTATTATAATGTTATAAATCGTAGGCGACTTTCTCTGACCTCGGCATCAAATTAATCAAGTTCTCATATGTTGGATGGCAACAAATGAATATCGACCCCGTTCGCTGTAAAAGAACTTTTCCATAAGAGTGTTAGTTATCATTCGAAAACTTGAATGTCTGTCTAGCGCAATACATAGCCGTTTTTCTCGGCTCTTCTTATAACGCTTCGGTAAAAAAGGAGACATTTATGTTTTGAACACGCGTTTTTTTCCCAAGACAGAGCTCTTTTTTAACTGTTAATGAAGCGTAATCAAGATTGATTCACATACGCGACCATGTGTGTTTTGGCCAATCTACGGGGTGGGAGGGAGAGGGAGGAGGGGCGCGGCGGGGCCTCATTGAGGATGCCGCGATTTCACACGGCCAGCGATCGACCAGAGCTTCGGGGGGCCACATGAAAGTGCGATTTTTGTTATTCAACTAGGAATCGTTTCTAGGCTTTGAAAGGAACTCCAGATCAAACGTCTGACTCTGATACTAGAAGATTTTCTCTACAAGTTTATCTGCTTCTCTTGCTTCCTGCGAAGCAGCAGCTGCATTAAACAGCCGATGTAAAACGTAATTTTGTGTTGAATTTGACAGCGTTATAAAATGGTGTTTTCAAAAACCGGCCACGTATCGCTCTAGCCAGAGATTTAAGCTTTCGAATGATTGCTAACAATTTTGTAAAAAAGTTCTTGTCTGGCGAATGGAGTCGAATATTCATTTGTCGCATCCAATAAACAAGAACCATAAATTATATTTCCGTTATTTATCAAGCCTGTAGCACGGGGTTGGTAATAAGTAAAGTTTGTTCGGCTAAGGTTTCGACGTCTCTGTCTTCTTCAGAGCCGATAATTCAAGTCGATTGCTTACGATCATTCGCCCTCATAGTGGTCTTCGTCTTCGTTGTTGATCAAATCGAGTATTTTTCGAAGGGCACCGCTCAGATGGAGAAGCTCACTCGGAGATGCGCTTATACACTGTGATTATTGATAATAGTGTCTGTACATTGAAATTTTATTTTCCACCGGACAATCAATCCTGCAGTAGTCGGTTTTACTAGCGGCTACCACGGATTTATATGTTGTAAACCGACTTTCCTTTAACCCCTAAGGGACGACGTGTACCAGCTGAGATACACAAATGTTTGAAGGCCTTTCTCGCTAAATAAATTTTTTCACTCACACATTTAGCAATCATTCGAAAGCTTAAATCTCTGCAATTTCAAGAATATGTTTGATTTTTCAAAATGCCTTTATATTACCTTATAGCAGCGAAAACAAAATTACGTCTCACGCGCAGTATGTTTTATTTGCTCGCCTGGAACTTGTGTACGACTCTTCGCCAGACTCTTAACAGTTATTCGGTCGCTTAAATTTCGAACATTTCGATGCTATAATCGGCTTCTGAAAGGTAATCATAGAACGCTGTGAGAGTGAAAAGAATATTACGTTTCGCATTAAAGTTTTATCGTATAGAAAAGTTATCTGTGCATAGAAAACATATTATCATGTAGAGAAGATCATGGGAGATCAAGTAACACAAAAAATCTAAGGTTTTGCTCTCTAAATGGACGAAAAACCCTAACTGAATAATGAGAATCGCGCGCCTCCTGCGAGTCGCGCTGTGTGATCGATCAGCTGCCGTCCTTAAGAGTTAACCTTGGCTATACCAATTCAAATTTTCTTTGCTGATTGAGCTTGTAGCATGAGGCGATAATAAGCTTCAATCCTTACATTTTATTGTAAGTTTTTTTAATAGTACATTATGATATATTCCTCGTTACCAGCCTCATGCTATAGGCCTAATCAAGAAGAAAATACCTGAACAAAGTTTATTTCGCGAATGGACCAGTACGGTTGTGAACAACTACGCCATCATTAAAAACAAAGCAAAAATTTTTTTTGTTTCGAATTCATCAATTTCTGAGGGATTTAAAGCAAGCAGTTACAGAAACGTTTATGATATCAGTAGTTTTCAGCTCGTCTAATTGCTATCTTTCTATTCATTTAATTGGCACGACCCGAGGTGACAACTTAATGTGCGGATTCTGGCACTTCCTGTATCCGAATCATTTCTTGGCATTCATCTTTCGCAAAGGCCTTCGAGTATTGCACGTGCTACTTCGGCTGTTGCTCAAGGAATTCCAACTTCTTTGCTGACTATGTAAAATGCTGGTCGAGACGACATTCTTGGAATTAGGAAGGTAGCCGAGATATGGATCTAATCGAGGCATTCGTTATTTCTAAGAGAATGCTAGAACAGAGGATCGAGCCAGCCACTTTGCTTATCACTTTACATCCTCATACACCACATCACTGACCAATGCGCTACTCCGTCCCTAACTGAGACTTTGAATGCGAGTTTCCAAACCATTCAGTGTTGCTGCGCTACAACATTCTCAGCTTTCTAACTCAGTCGAGACGGTAACCATCTCCTGCTGGCGTGTCCGTTTCTAACGTCGTTTACTGGATTCCGACTCATTGCGCAAAAGTGTCAGCATTTCGATGGAGCTATTGATTTTGTACAACCCCTAATGATTTTACAAACCTCATGTTTTTGATATCCCCTCATCCCACGCAGTATCCAAAACTACCATATCGGATAAAAAACGGAAACTAAAGGAATGCTTGCCAAAAACGATCCCGAACTCTGTGTGTGATGTCAGATCGTCGATACAGAAGTGTCTCTGGCGCTTCTTGGCCGGCTACTTGGCTTCGCCCGCAAAATCACTTTTCGATGCTACTGCGCAATCAGGGGACTGTTCTATGGATGAATCGTAGAATAATTCTTTGTCCTGCATACAATCGTGAGAGTCTGGAAGCTTTTTTGATAAGGTACAAAATTATAAGATGGATTGTGAGCACTTCTGAAAAACAAGGGATTAAATGGAGTTGATACTTAGCACGAATGAGATACAAACGTTCACTAATATGAATGAGAATCCAGGAGACTGCTCAGTAAATGAGTGGTGTTTACTGCACGTAAAAGGGTGAATGAAATTCATATATCCTTTCAATCGACTATTTTTGAACCTCGTTATAGGCATTTAGTAGATTCTGTGTAAATGGTCGGAGCCTTTTCGAGGCCGGTTCGCCAGGGGTTTACGTACGACTGAGTGGAAGGATGTCTACATAATCACAACAAAATGATGTTAACAGAATATCACGTGCCATCACCATAACGTTTTCCCATCCTTGCTACGAAGTGCAGCGTTCTGATGAAAGAGGCAATACCGCCGAGATGCACCTAAGCAACTAACGTACCAACCGAGAAAAGACTTGAACGTTTTCACAGGTAATCGTTTACTTTAATCTTCTTTTATCACATATATACCTAAGCGAATGGAGTAGTGAACAAAAATACGACCTCAGACGGGAGACAAACCCGCGTTTCATGCATAGAATGAGAACGAAGAATGAGTGGTGGCGCAAATATGGTGCCTCTGTAGTGTAGTGGTAGTACACGTTCCCCGTATTGGATGAAACACGGGTTTGACTCCTGTCTGAGGTCGTATTTTTGCTCACTACTCAATTCGCTTAGGTATTATGAAAACATCATAACACTACAAAAAAGCACTGAAAATACTAAAATTCGTGAGTATTAGTTTTTGCATGAGCCATGATCGCGTGTTCACTGTGGGATCCAGCACTTCTTCCATTAGCTTCGTTTTCTCAGCAGTCATCCTCCACAAAAGTCCTCAAGCATTTGACAAGTTGCATCGATTGCCATGGGGGTTTTTTCCGCTCTCTAGGATTGTCGTGAGATACTGGTCGAGACGATTTTCGTTGGTATCTCAAAATGGTACTGTTTTGCAATCCATTTTTCAACCCTTTGCAGGCAAAGCCTTTCCGTTTTTTCATACCTTGAGTGATGATTGGACACCTTGAATCTCGACGATTCCGATACTGTACTTGTTCTTTGAAAAGGTGTTCTTAGGTGGCGCTGTAGCCACAAATAATAAATTATGTTTCACCCTCGGCGCGCTTATCGCGTCGTATTTTCGTTGTTCAGGTTGAGAGATTTTCTCCTTTCTCGGGAAAATTTCTTAGTTATCCATTTTAGAATGTGTAGAAGAGCCCTAGTTCCATTGTTCTATTGGTCTGAGCTTTATTTTCATTTCATATTGCCAGATAAATCACAAGTAAGCCTATGCCTGAGCCCAGCAGCGCCAAGCGTAATCTTCTTTCCGCTCCTCCACCGCTCCGCGAAAACTTTTTTACAAAAATCAAATTTAGCTTTGAACTCATCTAGATTTAGGCTATGCTGACCATCAGAACTTGCTAAAGACCGTCGACAAACCCTTGCCGCTTCGGTGTCGTGTGCTACGAATGTTGCAAAATTCGATCCACACTGTTATTCACACACCCCAACCGAACAAAAACTAGGCGTCGATCGTGAGACTCAAATTTATTATCGCTCATATAACACACTAAAAAGCCCTTTTCAGGGAAGAAACATGGTATTGCAATCTGTGAGATTTAAGCTATCGAATGATTACTTGAAGTCTGAAAAACCGGTTAAGGCCATGTCCCTAAGGGCAGGAAAATGAATAGAAGAGTACGCACGAAGATAGCCGACCAAAGACGTTTCCTAAGGCACTGCACTGTACAAGCGAGTGTTGAGGAGTTGATTGAACCAGCGCCTTGCATATCACCTCTTGCTTCCTTGTAGATCACAGAAGCATATTCCCTTTGTCAAAGTGCGATGAGCGGCTCGCGGTACGTCATTATTTCCATTCCGGACAACGAAATGGTCCAGTGAACAAGTGCTGAACCACATCAGGAATAACCCCCGATATTTTCCAGAGACCAGCCTTTTCCGACAGAAATGGTCCTTCCAGGAAGAAGAAACGAACAATTTCCTTATCACACCGAAGAGTAATCCCGACCTTTCCTCAGAGGCAGCCAATCCTGACAGAAATAGTCTTTCCAGGATGAGGAACAATCAACTACTGGACAACACCATGGGATACCCCGACTTCTTCCCACCGACCAGCCATTCCCCGGCAGAATGGCCCAGGAGGAAGAGGAATCAACAAGTTCTGTATCACACCGGAGAATAATCCCGACCTTTCCCCAGAGACCAGCCATTCCTGAACAGAAAAGTCTTTCCAGGAAGAGGAACAACACAACTACTGAACCACACAGGGAATAACTCCGACGTCCTCGCACCCGACCAGCTATTCTCCGGCAGAAATGGCTCACTTGGAAAAGAATTAACCACCACACCAGGGAATACTCCGACGGTCCTTTCGTCGACCGGGCATTCTTGAGCAGAAATGGTCCACCTAGGAAAAGGAATAAACAAGTACCAGACCACATCAGGGGATGACCCCGACCTATTCCCACCGACCAGCTATTCTTGAGTAGAAATGGCCCACGAAGGAAGAGGAATAAACAGGTACTGGACAACACCATGGGATAACATCGACCTCTTCCCACCGACCAGCCGTTCCCTGGCAGAAACGGCTCACCTAGGAAAAGGATAAACAAGTACCGGACCACAGCAGGAGTGAACCCCGACCTATTCCCATCGACCAGCCATTCCCGAACAGGAAGGTCCTTTCAGGAAGATTAGCAAGCAAGTACAGAACCACCCGATGGAGAGCACCGACCGGCCTCCTCGCCTCGACCTCTCACTCCCGGGAAATAATCCTCCCACACGGCTCTCTCGTCGTACGTCAATATTTGTGGCTGACGTGCTTTCTAGTTGGCGCATTTACAATTGGCAAAATTCCAACAGTTCTGGGAAGATGACGTCACTAATTTTTAGTCGGGGGATCTTCACTTTTTCGAATTCCATTCAAGAACTCATGAACATTTGACAGAAGCCAAAGCCGGGTCAGGAGAGATCACAGGCCCCCTTGGGTTAACCTAATGACCTGTTGCTCCTCGCCCCGTTGGGACTCACTTCAATTGATTTTCTCACTGGAGGTGGTGGGAGACGGACGGGTGAATGGGCGGGCGTGGGGCTGCTTGGGAGAGGTTACCGGCCGGGGTCCATGGGCCCATGGGTCCATGGGTCCATGCAGACGCGGGTTCGTGCTCTCGGCCGTCATATTGATTGAAGGCGATGCTTTACACCACCACCACCATCCCGCCACCACAACCCTCTCGTCGTCGTCGTCGTCGTCGCTTCGTGGTTGGTGGTGTTTCTTCACATCGGCTCCCCCACCTTCCTCCTCCTCCTCTTCCTCTTCCTCTTCCTCCATTCCTCTTCCTCTTCTTCCCCCTCCTTCTCCTCCCCCTCCTACATAAGTGCTCCCATGTGCTCTCTAGTAATCCCCCACATTTCTTCTTTTAAGCGGTTTCCGATCAGCTTTTCATCATTAAACTTGACGCGGGAATTCCCCGACTTGCTAAAAAACCCGTAGATCACTAACTTTCTTTATTGATCTCCCTCTCTCTCTGTCCAGTGAAATTTCCCGTTCGCCATTCATCGGAGTTCGACGGGGTTTTTTTCATCGTTCCCACGAAGATCGACCATCCTTCCTAATCGATTGCCGTAGGTCAAAACGAGGTTAGGCGTTTTTTTCTCTTCTTTTTGAATCGCCATTTCTATTTTGGTGATTTTTTTCTTGTATAGAGGATTTTCCTAGCTTCTTAGGATTTTCAGGAGCTTCCTGTTACGTTTCGTAGCACTAAAGAGGCCGGAATTTTTTTTAATCTTTCCTTCACTTTTTTCTTTTTTTTTTTTTTACTAATCTCAAGTCCTCTTTTCCTAAGGCTTTTATCTGTAATTTACTGTCATCCCACTGATACTATCCACCTTATCCCGTGGGAAAGGCAGCATAGTCAATATCGCCAGGGGCGCGCGGGATTTTCGTTTTTCAACGAGGATTTTTCTCTTTATCTTGGGAATTCCTGAAGTATAGATAATCAATCAAGATTTTTTTTATCTGGAATATCTGGGTTCGGAAGGAGGAGATCTGGGTTCGAATCCCGGCTGACGCAAATGTTTTTGCACAGCACTTCACATTATTGGGTATACCTAAGTTTTCGTCCGATCTGATAGAACATGATTTTCACTACAAGTCTGTATACTTTTTGCGCATATATAACTCTTATGTGCAAAGAAGGAGCGCATGTGGCGCAGTGGTTAGAGGTGCTCTGCGCCGCACACGAGGTCAGTGGTTCGATCTCGCGCTCAGCTCACCAAGCCATCCATCCCTCCGGGGTCGGTAAATTGGTACCAGACAGGTCTCAGACTTGTCTGGGAGGATAAGCAGCACTGACTCGGTTCAGCGGGAGGCCACCGCGAGTCATTGTAAAGGCCAGATATGCATTCAAATCACCTCAAAACGAAGTTAAAAATTGAAGTCGAATGCATGGCGCATCCCTCAGGGATTGATCAACGCCGAGACTTTTATTTTCGCTCACTCAGTGTGCTATGAGAACTTTTTTTTGAAAAATACTCTAGACTTCAAACTCGCCGAGATTTGGGCTATCGAATATGCTTAGAGTAGCCCAAGAAAAGGCGATCCACAGACTTTAACTGGGCAAATAAAGCAACTCGAGGGTGAAATATATTTCTGTTTCCGCTGCTAAGCGTACTGGAGTAGCATGTTTGGAGAACCAAGCCAAGAGTCGGAAACCCCGAGATTTAAGCTTTTGAATGGATACTTAAATTCCGGACAAAGCCCTTTGCCCAGCGAAAAAGGATCTCTGAAAACTTGAGGGTCAGAATGGCCCTCTATCGTCCGCTAAGGGTTATGCTCGCTGTTTCTTTGAGTAGCAGCAACTCCTGAATGGCTCCTTTGTGCCGAAATATTGATTTTTCCTGGCAATTACTTGGGTAATAAACCTATAAGCAAATTTCTCCCCCGGCTCAGGCTTCATTCTGAAGTTTATGGTGATTTTGCTGAAGTAAACTGGCGGAAATCTTCCTTCTCAGGTCTCCAACGCCACCTTTGCGAACGTGGGCAGCTCAATTATTTTCTAGTCTTTGATGACGAGTTTTAAACCATTTAAAGTCTGGGAGTCGCTCTGAGATCTGGACAAGTTAGAAGTCCAATATTATCACCTGACTATTCCCACCGAGCGCATATGGCGCAGTGATGAGAGCTGCTCGGCGTCGCACACAAGGTCGATGGTTCTATTCGCAGTCATGTCTCAAAAAACTCTTCTATCCCTTCGGGTCTGTAAAATCGTACCCAGGCTGGTCTCAGACTTATCTGAGAGGATACGAAGCATTAACTTGATACATCGGTAGGCAACCGAAGGTCATTGTAAGGTCAGATATCCGTCCTATCACCCCGGAGGAAGATGAAAAATTGTAGGTGAATGCATGGCCCAGGGTTAATCAACCCCGAGACCTTTATTTTCTGCTCAGCTTTTCCCTTCCACCATTTTTTCCTTTTCAGGAAAAGCGCCTTTTCTCCTTCGTTCAATTACACCACTCGCCTATTGCAGTATCATGATGTTACGATAAACCCAATGATGTAGAGTGGTGTGCAAAAACGTTTGCGTCAGCCGGGATTTGAACCCAGATCTTACTCTTTCCGGGAGCAT